ACCATCATTAGCAGCAACACTTTCATCACTCAACAATATGAATTTCTCAACTTTAGACGCTTTCGCCTGCTTGCAAGGAGACTTTTTCACAACTTTGACAGAAGGAGATTCAGAACCGCAGTCATCTCCAATTTCCCCCTCAGCTTCTCCCCAATTCTTAACACCTAACCCTTGAGTCTTGACAGATTCGGAGGTAGGAGAAATGGGTTCACTTGGTTTTTCAACCTCAGCCTTCTGATTGCCCTTTTCCCCTCTGATAAGCTGCTCCGTTGACAACAAAACAGCTGCAGAAGCTTTCACATTATCAGCCTCATCCTTCTGATCGTTCTTTTTCAACTCAGTAGGCTGCTCCCTTGACAACGGATCACCTATAGTTGCTTTCACTGCCTCTATAATGGACTTCACTTGACTACCAATTTCGTCTCTAAAAGCCCGAAATTCGTTCTCCATATTCACAATCCGACTCATTAGCTCATTCTCTCTGGAAGCAGCATCACCCATTGCAACTCTAAATTCTTGCCTAAAGTTGTCAATTCTACCCTCCATGGTAGTAAACCGAGCGTCAATACGCTCACAGAGAAGCAGCTCATCACCGTCGGGTTTTTGCCGTTTCCCATCTCTTTTTTCCCGTTTTCTTGCAGGTGATTTCAAACCTGCATCCTCAGGTGATCTTTTACCCGAACTGCTGGAAACCTACAAATTAATTAAAAAGGGAACCAAATGTACCATTAGCATGCTCCAACTCGTCAAAAGAATCAAATATACTATCAGTCTTACCACTTCTGTTAACAATAACTCCACGTCTCCGCTCCCCCAGCTCAACAAATCCAAACTCCTATCAATAGTTTCGAAAATACCATTTGCATGCTCCAAGAATATTAACTACAAAAAAAAAATACTATAATCAACATGATGATTAATCATTACAAATATGTAGAAAGTAGGGATTAGCAATTATTTACCTCCAAGAACAGCAAGCAACCCGGTATATACTTTCTCCCCTCAGCATTATGGTCGCAGATGCATTTGACCAATTCATTGAAGCAAAACGATGCCCAATTCTTCTTCGGAATATCGGCAACATCGAGGACAGCGTATACCGAAGATAACGAAAAGTCATCTCTTCTAGTTGGTACTAATAGCACCCCTATTACGTACAAAATAAACGTTTGAAGAAATAGATCACCGCTATCTTTCATCTCCGACAAAGCCTTCCGCATTAAGCTTGTCGAAATCGCCTGTCGGGCACAATCAACTGTCGAATACACTCTAAATGGATTCAATTCCTCGGATCTTCGTCCCACTTCTTCACCATTCAAGATGATATCAGTACCTCCCTCAGGCACGCCCATAATTCGCTCGAAATCTTTGGCCGAAATATGGACTTTCAACCCATAAGCCTGAATTGAGCTTTCTTCCACATTAAAGCTCTTCAAAAGGATCTCCAACAACTCACGTTGGAGCATTCTTCCTTTGACTTCAAGCATACGACCAAAGCCACATCTCTTAATGGCCTCTGATTGACAAGCCTCTAAATTTGAGACTACTGAGAATACTTTCCTAGGAGAACAGCGGGTGCTAAAAATTACATGACTCTTCGTCTTCATTATAGAACAATTTTAGCAAACTGCAAAATTAAAACAACAAAAAAATTATAAGCATGCCTTGAAACACGATTTATAAGCATGCCGAAGAGTACTAACAAAATACACAAAGCCAGAGTCGTCCACCACTGATCTAAAGAAGCAACTTTCAGTTTTCACACTTAAACACATTCGAGAAAACGTGGTTATGACAAAGTTTCATTCAAGAAAAGGATCATTTAATCATTCGGTAAACACATTCTCCAGGTAATGAGTTCAATCCTGGTTTTCAATATATGGCTTTAATCAATATTGAACAAATACAAGACTATACCAGAGCTCACAAGCACACTTGCCTCGATATCAAGTTCTAACTACCAGAAGAAATGAAAACCCCCTACATCAACACCTGAGTACACTAATTAACCATGAAATCCGCCATTGGCATATATAAATTTCACCCAAAACACCCAGCTTCCATTAAATTTCACCCAAAATGCAAATTCTCACGGCCGTGACATGACCCGTGAGAAGCAAAGAGTAGTTTTCATATCCCAGACAATCTCACGGCTTTGGTTTCAAAAACCACGGTCGTTAAACTAAGCCGTGAAACTAAAAACACCCTGATTTTTCAGTACTTCAAAGCTACTAGAGGAGTCACTTATCAGTACATCAAAGCTACTATTCTAACCTCCCAAAGCTCGATCCACCTATGAAATGATGCATCTGCATTTTTCAGCATTTGAAATACCACACCAGTACCTACCAATCCTAGTCCCAACAATCCAACTTGTCTCAAGCCAAACTGAAAAGAATCAAACTTTGAGTATGAACTTTCCTATTCGATTTGTCTCCATAAAACACAAATCAAGTCTCTCCAATCAAAAAGCTAATACTGGCATGCATAAAGGAAGGAACACAATCGCTAGCTAGGTCAGATTGGAGCAACTTTTTTTGAGATCACGCATGGTTGGGAACAATAATACTGGAATGCAAGGTTCACTAGGTGAATCACGCCAAAACCAGCTGTGACCATCTCACGGGTTAATCTCACGCCCGTGAGATTAACAGATGAGCCGTGAGAAGTTCAGCATTTCAATTGCACAAACACGGCTCATCTCACGGCCGTGATACTGGCGAGACCAACCCGTGAAACCCCCTGGAACTCCCCCTTTTTCAAAAAAATCTAACGGCTCATCTCACGGCTTTTTGTCCCGGGCGGGATATAACCCGTGAAACCCCCTGGAAGTTACAAATTTTAAAAGAATCACGGCATAACCTATCAATTGCATCACAATCTTGCTCTAATAGTAAACTGAAGTACTAATCACATAAACGTAGACGGAGCCAGCATTCAAACGCAAATAAAAAGCTCAAATGAATGCAAAGAATCACATAAGACTAATGCAAAGCTCATGCAAAGAATCACAGAAGACAAATGCTTCGATTACCCTTTTCTAGAATACATCCACACAACAACCATACTACAAATAGTTGCTAGCTTAACCACAATGGGAACATGATTAGGACTCCTCTCCCAGCGCTCACAAAGACAAGATGAATCGCATGCTTGGAATGACGATTATGTAACTCAACAAGGCAATAGCTCTCTCGACACGTGCAACTCACACCGGTTTTCCAAGTGAAATGGAGTTTCCATTTATGAAAAAGTAAACAAAAAAAGTTTCCAAAACTAATTTATGATATCATTTTCATGAGATAGCATTTAGCTATGGTGGAAAACCACATAAAGAACACATGATCTTTGCTTGGTTCATGCATGCTATTTCCTAGGCTCTTTCACCAAGTGTGAGTTTTCTTGGTGACAAGCATTTTCCTCTTTGGTACATGATTAAATTGTTCACTACCCAGCAAGGCAACCACAACCATGCACAACCCTCCCTTCAAGCTTCAATGTGTAAATCAACTCACAATGAACTTTAGTAGCAGGAAATCTATGGCTGTATGGTTAATGGAGGAGCAACCAACAACCACATTACACCACGTTGCTTTGACAAAGACCTCTATGCCCATATGAAAAGAAGATTTTTGGAATTGACAACATGTTCCTTCCCACAGGAGACACAGCCACACCAAGGAAAATAGACCAGCAGAAGTAGAACATGCTACTTATCATGACAAGTTTAGAATCAACCAACTCACTCGTAATTGTGTAAACAATAAGATGGTCTACAAGATGAACTACAATGGCTTTCAGAAGGATTTCGATCAACATCGACCTACATCTATGAGGTACACAATTAAACCAATACCAGGACATCAACAAGCAGGTCCCATATGTGAATTGATAGTTTGCTTTGACACTAAATCAGTCAATATATAGCTAATTATCAAGCTAAACACAAAGAAGATAGTACAAGGACATCAACCTGGTCAAAGGACATGACCAATTAAACTCATAAACCTAAAACGAGCATGGAATTTCAATCCCCCTACCGAAATGTGTAAATCTAGAACATCCCAACAACGAATGCAACAAATTCGGTCGATACAAATGCCCCCTAGAAGAATGAAGAACAACGGACTTCCTCCACCACCATTACCACCAAAGCTTCCCCACAAAAAGGAGAATCATTAACCACAAAAACAATGAATGTTGTGAATTCGTCCGATTCGAATCCTCCCACGAAAAAGATGGAAGAACTACAACAACAACATCCATCCAAAACTTCGTCACCAAAGGAAGCATCATCAAGAAGATTGGATAACTTCTACAGCTGCATCAGATGACCCGGGTTCAAGAAGAGTTGAAGGGATTGAATATTCCAAAGCATGCATAATTTGCAGCGACATCATTCCAACAAAGACTACTCCATCATATCGATCAGCCACAACCATGCTCTAAATATCCTAACTAAGTTTGACCTTAATGTCTCATCATTCATGGATGATTCATAGGTCTTATAAGTAACTAAAGTTTAACGATGCATCCTTTCTATCTACCATATCATATCATATCATATCAATCCTCCCACGAAGAAGATGGAAGAACTACATCAACAACCACAACCGCAACCACAACAACAACAACCACAACTGCTGTGAATTCTTCAGACTCGAATTCTTCTACCCTAACAACAGAAAAACCCAATGCTCCTCCTCAACAGAAGAAGATTGAGGAACAACAACAACAACAACCTTCTAAGGATGTTGCTGAAACGGAGACAAATCAAGCACAACCTCAACAGCAAAAACAAGGTGAAATGAAGGTAAATGCTGCAAATTCTCCTTCAAAACAAGTGAAGGAACAACAGGAACCGCCATTGCAGCTAATTATCAAGCTAAACACAAAGAAGATAGTACTAACCGAAAAAAGTTGCGGTGGAGGAGGTAGGCCAGCGGTCTTCGTTTGCTATCGATGGGAAGAGGGCTGTGCAGAGTCGTCGTTTGCTATCGATGGGAAGAGGGTCTTCGTTTGCAATCGACGAAGAGATGCTCGCTCTCGTCGTCCCTTGCTCGCCGCCTTCACTGTGGTCGTCGGAATCCGGCTCGCCGCCTTCACTGTCGTCGTCGGAATCCGGAATCCGAATCGCTGCAATCGACAAGCTTCTTCTACTCGTCGTCACCCAATGCTCGCCGTCTTCACTGTCGCCGTCTTCACTGCTCGCTAGCTGCGTGGAGAGGATCGAAGGAAGGAAGGGTTTCGGCGGTGAGAAAGAGGTGAGAAAGAGGATCGAAGGATTGTAATTGGTTTCAGACAACCGGTTGTACCGGTTACAACCCACAAATAAAATAATAAAATAATAATTTAAATGAAATCTAATGGTTGATATAGTTTGGACATGATCTAATGGCTGTAAATGTTTTATAGTACCAATACTATAAAGCACACTAAAATGCCTCTTGATTGAAATCAATAGCCCTCTTCATAAAACTGCATCAAATCTCAATCCCATAAATCACAAACTTAACTAACTTCATACTAGGGTCCTTGGAATCACCAATCTTTCGATGCACTACCGACTTTCTGAGCATACTCCTTGAGCTTCTACCATTCCTGGATGCGGGCTATGGGGTCAACCTCCAGAGTTTTTGAATATACATACAAGGAAAATTGATTTTTTACTTAAGAGGTAATTCGGATACCAATATGAGGGGGGAAACATGTGATTTTAACTTCATCACATATTAAGTAGTCCTCTATATAAGAATGTAATTTTTTTATAGTGAGAAGTAAATTGAACTGTGATTTGATTATGTTTATTAAGAGTTGGTTCTCTTGAATGACTTTAATTTTACTTTCAATTAAGAGTTTTGATTTTTTTCAACATTTGAATAGTTTGGTCTATTTTTATTGTCAAATAAAGGATTTTTTACATAATAATTATTGTCATTTATTTTATTTTCAAAATGCAACCGGCCAACGGGCGGGCCCAAATCTAGTTTTATAGAGATACTTAATACTTTGCAGAACCACTCAAGAGACAAACGTTCCTCCCTTTTAGACTCATAAAAAAATAAAGCTCAATATTGTTCATATAATGTATATTTGTATGTGAAGAGTGTAGACTACAACATATGAACGTCTACTTTAGATAAAAACTCATACATTATGTTGGATGAAAACTTGAAAAGAAGTTCTTTTACAACCTCTGATAATGTTAAGAGACAAAGTCAATTCACACAAACAAAACAATTCATTAACCTCATATCATTGACATATATTTTTGTTAGGTGAATACTTCTATTGAGCGTAAGATAATTGTATTAGTTGCATGTAATGTTAAATGTTAATGATAACTATGTGTTGATTGCTATGTTTTATTCATTATATAAATTGTGAATTAATGCCTTAACCGAACTTTTTCTCACTTAATTATAATGTGATGTTATATCAGTTAATCTGGTTTACCAAATTGATTAAATTTTAGTTTGGTTAATTTGATTGTTGTATTAGTTTGGACGGTTTGGTTATGATATTGTATTCCATGACTAATAAATTTAGTTTTATTTGGTTTGGTAATTACACTCGTAACCATTTGAACACCCCCTAAGTTGACAACTTTGTGTTGTTTTTTTTTTTGTTTTTCTTTCCTAAAAATTTGCCACATTAGAGTTACACGTCATGATTGACAAGAGTTTTGATCAAACCATAACAGAACACTAACGTTTAAACCTAAAATAATTAAATGATAATTACAACTCAATATGTAAAGTCTCAAAGTGTTAGAATACGTACATAAATATCTTTGAAATGAAATTTTGTACAAACTATGTAAATCCAAATCGATCGAAATTACTTCGATTCAATCAGTCAGCCCTTAACATGATAGATAAATTAAGTAAGTGACTTTTATGAAACGTAAGAATCTATATATATGTGTATTGCCTTCTCGAAAGATAATTGTTCATATCACAATTAGGTTGTTTTTCAATTCAAATACAAATCTATATTCCTGTTGAAAATGAACTATCCCTCCTTTTGAACCGAATCAAACCAAACAATATCAATAGCATCACTACATTTAAAAATGATTTGAGATAGTGAAGAAAAAACAAAACAACAGAAACTACAATGTATGTAAAGTATAAAAATTCTCCTAAACCCGGCCTTCAAGCTCATCACTCTTCCTATTCCCTCCGCCAAACAGCTCCTCCATCTCCTCCAACGACCTCCCTTTCGTCTCCGGAAACAAAGTGTACACAAAAATCCACCCCACCAACGACACCCCGGCGAACAGAAAAAACGCACCGCCGATCGTAATCGCCTTGTACAACGATATAAACGTCATCGAGATCATCGCGTTCATCAGCCTATTCACCGCCACTCCCAAACTATACCCCTGCGCCCTCAACCGCAACGGAAAAATCTCCGAGCTGTAAACCCACGTCACGGGTGCCACCCCAATATTGAAAAATGCCACAAACGTATAACACGAAGCAATGCTCAGGCCCAAGGCCCACAAAATCTTCTCCCCGTGATGCCTCTCCACAATCGTAAGACACGTCCCCAGCAGACTCAACGCCCCGATTATCCCCGCAAAGCTGGTCAGCAGCAGCCTCCGCCGCCCGACCCGGTCCATCAGGAAAGTCGAGAGCACAATGAAGGTGAATTTCGTGAGGCCGACGCCGACCGTCGCGAGGAGAAGCTTGTGCTTATCCGTGACGCCGGCCGATTTGAAAATCCTCGGGCTGTAGAGTACCACTGCCTCAATGCCCACCGCGTGTTCGAAGAAATGTATCCCCACAGCACAGACTAATATCCTCCTCACGGCCGGCGTGGGCCGCAGCAGAAGGTCCTTCCACACTCCTTTCCCTCCCGATTCCTTCTTCGGCACCTCCGCGAACTCCGAATCGCAATCCTCGTCGATCCCCGCCGCGATCTTGATGTCTCGGAACCGCTTCTCTGCCTCTTCAGGGGAGTTCGACACTTTGAAGAGGATCCTCTTCGCTTTCCCCAATTTCCCCTGCGAGATCAGCCACCGCGGGGATTCCGGCATTTTGAGGATCCCGATCGCGAGGAGGAGGGAAGGGACCGCCGCGATCCCGAGCATTAGCCTCCAGCCGAGGCGGAGCGAGAGCTTGGCGCAGGCGACGTTGGAGATGTATCCGAGGAGGATTCCGATCGCGATCCCCCACTCGGGTAAGGAGGTGAGGAATCCTCGCGATTTCGCGGAGGAGACCTCCGCGGAGTAGACGGGGGCGATCAAAAGGGCGAAACCGACGCCGATGCCGGCCACGCAGCGTCCGGTGATGAGGACGGCGTAGTCAGGGGACCAGCCCATGAGGACGGAGCCGAGGAGGAAGATGATGGAGGCGAGGACGATGGTGTAGCGGCGGCCGATTAAGTCGGAGATTCGGCCGGCCATCAGGGAGCCGACGAGGGCGCAGATGTTGAGGATCCCGGCGAGGACCTGGACCTGTGTGTCGTTGATTAGGAGGTCTTCTTTTATGAAGATCATCGCTCCACTCATCACTCCCGTATCTGTAAATTATAATTAATTAAACAAAACATCATTAATTAATTTCAAATTCAAAACAGTGATTATGCATTAAACAGGATTAATTAATTAATTAGTTAGGAACAGAGAGAGATGATGACTTGCCGTATCCAAAGATGATGGAAATCATGGAAGCTACGATGGCGCAAGCGGCAGCGTAGGCATTGAATCTCTCGTCGGACGGCGGCCCTGCCGCCGTGGTGGACGTCATGAAAGACATTAATTACTCACTGATCAGTGTTTCTCTGACAGATTCGAGTTCTAGATATATCGAAAAAGAGACAAAAGAGGAAAGAAGAAGAAAATGGTGTTGGGTGAGTCGTGTGGTGGGAACGATTCAGTGGGGGAGACGAAGAAGCAAAAACTCAATAAATAGCGGAACTGAAATGGGAGTTTGTTTCTATAAAAAGAGATAATTATCGGTCCCGTAACAATATAGCGCTTATCCAAAACGAAAAGAACAGGAAGGAAAAAAGTAGAGTAGAGTAGAGCGAGTTCGTGCGTGGTATTTCCTTTTTGGTTAGTTGTACATCAATCAATAATCATACAAGTATGATTGTACGTATCTATTTAACTATTTTGTTATTATAGATTGAGCCGTTTGTTATATATGTAGATACAGTCAAATAGATATCTTCATATCTACTTTATTAAGTACAGCATAGTTTTAAAGTCGTATATACTTTATACACCAAAAATTACCGTAGAGTTACTTTTTATATCGCGTGGAAGATTGTGAGTTTCAAATTCAACATCTCCAACTATCAATTTCTAATGATATTCACTAAAATTATGTCGAGAAGAAGCAAACAGGGGGAAGGAGAATGAGAAGCAGAAAAGAGGAGGAGGAGGACCGACATGGATGAGTTGAAAGATGAATTGTGTTTGGTTCTGAATAATAATAATAATAATAACAATAATGAATTCCATCTCAGTAGCCTAGTCAGTATTCTGTTTGCCACGTCATCAAAAATTTGACGCCGTTAACGGAGTTTAATGGAGACTAACGACCAGTGACCAACGGTGAAACGGTTCGTAAAGTTAGTGTCCAATAAAAAAAGAAAAGTAATTTGGATGGCAAACGTAAAAACTTTATGTAATTTGAGTGACCAAACATGTAATTTAGTCTTTTTAAACATATAACGTCCAACAAAAATCCAAAAGTCCAGGTCAAATTTAGCTTGTCGCGTGGTTGCCAAATGCCAAGTTGATTAGCTCGATAGATTCGTAACTGCAAGTTGCCAAACGTATTAATTAGCTGACAACAAGCTATAATATAAGATAGTAATTAACAGTTACAAACACGTACACGTGGTGGAATCCACTGCTTTTCGGTTGGTGTGTGTATATTTTAGGGTTTTGGGTTTGTGTGTGGATAAGACCGACTGGATGGAGCAGGATCTCGATATAGAAGTCTGATCTGAATCTGACTACGAATCGTACGCCGGAAAATTTTTTTTTGGATGTGTTTGGATCTCCGTAACCGCTGCCGGCGTTGGAGCACCATCCCAGGTCCCAACTGATTATCCTTGCCCAACTGTTTTGGATTACCGCAAATATGCATGCATTGGCTTTTTGTCCCCTGCACTGATTAAGCTTATTTATTTATTTATTTATTTATTATATATGCTTAGTAAATAAGCTTTTGGTCCCCTCACTACGGATAGCAATGGGTCGGGTTGGGGCGGGTTTTGTCAAAACTCAAATCCAAATCCATGGGTTTATCCGCAAAAAAATCCTGGGTAAAACTCGTTGGGTTTGAAAAACTCAAACCCAACCTAATCCGCTGGGTATCCGCGGGTTCATGGGTACCTGTGGGTTTTTGTGGTAAATAATTTACAATAACAAGTTTTTTTCAAAATAAAAGTTTAACATCAATTTTCCATACAAATTATTCATACAAAAAACACCAATCTAGAGCATACAAGAAAACAAAAAATGATCAATACAAATTGTTCAAAATTAAAGATAAACATCTATAAACAATAAGATTAATTGAAAGCTTCTTCCTCGTCAACTAATTTTCTTCACTCTCCACTTCTTCGTCAACTAAGCTTCTTCGTCCGGTTCATATATTTGCTCACATACTCTACGTGCAAAACTTTATATATGGTAAGATATATAAATTAACAACCATATGAATTAAAATCATAAGATATAGATTGACTCGTCCATAAGTTGGTAATCGAGTTGGCTCTCTAGCCACATGTTAAGACATATCATGAGCTCTAAACGAGCCAGCTCACGAGTTTAGCTCAACAAGCCACCGAGTCGAGCTAGCTTGCGAGCTTCACGAGCTGAACAAAGGTGAGCTCGTGTTCGGCCCGTTATTAATGAGCCGAGTTTTGAACGAGCTTTTCTCGAGTCGAACGTCGAGCCGCTCGCGGGCATCTCGGCTCATTTGCAGCCGTAGTAATGAGGATCAGGGACCCCAAAACGACGGCGCTCATCTTCGCATCCGGCAAGATAGTATGCAGGGGTGCCAACAGTGAGTTGCAGTCGAAGCTGGCTCCCAGGAAGTAGGGGTGGGAATCTGGTCCCGGTTTTCCGATCAAACCGGAAACCGGCCAGTTTAAACCGTCCCGGTTGTAACCGGAAACCGGATTGCATCCAATCTGATCCCGTCTCCGGTCTGTCTGTTTGCCAACCCGGTCCAATCTGGTTAAAACCGGAAAACCGGATTAAAATCTTCAAGCAAGCCCAGCTCACAATCCAATCCTCAGGCCCACACTCAGCAAATCCAGCCCGACCCAGAGCCCAACCCTAAACCTAATCCTACTCCCTCTTGCTCTCACCCACGTTTCCATACCAGCCGCTCACTCCTCCCCTCTAATCTCCCTCGCCGAAAACCCACCTTGGAGACTGGAGTCGCCGCAATTGGCCACCACCACCTCCTCCTTCCCGACCACGACCACCACCGTCGTCGACCTCATCATCCAATCCTTCTCCTCCACCATCCCGTCCATCCTCCTGAAACACCCTCCATCACTCATCTCCACTCTGCCCCATCCCCAGCCAGCGTCGCTAGCGCCGCCGCCGCCGCAATCTCCTCCGCCATCAGCTCGTGCATGGAGGAAGAGGAGGTGTCGACCACGACTCGTCAAAGAGAAGAAGAGGTAGATGGAAGAAACAAGAAAGAGAAAGAAGAACAGAGAGGAGAAGAGGTAGGTGGAAGAAAGATCGGTAAAGAAGAAGAGAGAAGGAATTTAAGTGGAGGAGGCAGAGACCCCTCTTCTCAATTTCATTGTTTTTCTTTTTTTTTTTTTCAAATTTTTTTCAAACGTCAACGTTTTGGAAGGGCCAATCTGGTTTCCGGTTTAAAACCGGATTGGACCCAGTCCGGTCACGGTTGAAACCGGATGCCATCCAATCCCGTCTCCAGTTATGGTATTTGCCAAAACGGTCTTAAAAAACTGGGTCAATCCGGTCTGATTTTGACCGGACCGGATCGTTTCCCACCCCTACCAGGAAGTATGCTCGAGCAGTTCAGAAGCTCGGTTTCCCGGCCAAGTTCGAGGACTTCAAGATCCAGAACATGGTAGCCTCTTGTGATGTGAAGTCCCCATCAGGCTCGAGGGTATTGTTGCATCCTCCCATGGCGCTTGCTCGAGTTACGAGCCCGAGCTTTTCCCGGGGCTGATATACAGAATGAAACAGCCCAAGGTCGTGCTCAGCATTTTTGCCCCGGGGAAGATTGTGATCACGGGAGCTAAGGCTAGAGAGGAAACGTACGCAGCGTTTGAGAACATATATCCTGTGCTTACTGAGTTCAGGATAAAGTCCAGCAATAATATGGCGGCGGTAGAATGATATTTAGTGGTTCTGATTTTAATGGGTAGCATACTCATTTAATGACAACTAGGATGCAAACTCGCGCTTCGCGGCGGGTGAGATTATGGTGAATTGATCAAGTTATTAAACAGTCATATTAGAGAAAGTATTTCATAACAATATGTCAGACAATCGATAATTCAAACTGTTTGAGCCTAACTGGGTGTAGGAGTGAGATTCGGGAAGATGGGTCAAGGAGAGTAAGCAATAAGAGAATAACTGTCAACGGAAGAACTGAGGAGAGAACGAATGGAATTGAGAGGGTGATATCTTAGAGAGAGAAGTTGATAATTCTTAGAGATAGAGTCAGAAAAATCCGATCCCCTCACCCACCGGAGTAAATGCCGTATTTATAGGCTACATGGTGGTGGGTGAGTTACATGATGGTATGGTGATGACTCGACTCTACTGTCACTCCAGGAATTGGCCAAGTGAAACCACTTCCTAAAGCGTAGTATAGCGGGTTTGGGTTTAATTATCAACCCGGGTCCTAGATTTGCTGACTACTCAGTGAGTTCTTGTTATCTAGCAATAAAACTGGAGTGCAAGTCTAAACTACCAAACAAACAAAGCAAGTAAACTGGTTGTATTCAGGTTAAAGAGGTCACCCGGATATGGTTCCCCCTAGACTGCAGTTAAGCCGGATTGTAATTACCAAGTTCAGTTTCTATGATAGTTATACTGCGGAAGGTTCTTAAACAGCCTGAAGTCTCGACTAAAGGTCTTCAGACCCTCTCAATCTGACTCTCTAGCGGGCGACTAACCTCCACCGGAGTCGACAGATTGAGGCCCTAAGAACAAAACCTCCACTACCGGAGTAAATCCGGTACAGAATAGTGAGTTGGCTCCTCGACTAAAGTCACCAACTCCCTACCTTCAATCAAGGATACTCTATTAACCTAGGCAGATATTCTCATTCTAGGTTAAAGCAGAAACAACATGAATTTGATCAGGATTCAAGTCATTCAATCATTAAAACCTCAATCGAACATAATCAATCACAGAATCAGTACTTGGGTTCATACAATCAAAGCCTAACATACAACTCTAGGGTTCTCCATACCCAGATGAATGGAAGAACTACTCCATAGAGAAGAAAGCAAAAGCAGAATCAGACACGGAATTCATACTGCGAAGGATGGATTCCTGCTTCTGGACGTTGATTGGCACTTCTCCAAGCTCAAGCTGGCCTCCAATGGTGTTGAAGATCAATCTAGGGCACTTGGGAACTCTTGCTCGTCACTTTCTCTCTCTAGGAACTGATCTCTCTCTCAAAAACTCGAATCCCCTTGAATTGTGGCTGAAACTCTGCTTAAAAGCATCAGTGGCCAAAGCACGGTCGAGGGCACGGCCGTGCTTTGCCTGACTCCGCCCGTGCCTCGGCCAGGGCTTAATTACACGGCCAGCAAGTGGGTTAAACACGGCCGTGCTTCGCAATGTACACGGCCGTGCTTTGACTGAACACGGCCGTGCTTCGGTGCCCGTGTTTGCAGCTGAATTGGCCAAACTGAATTTGCTCTCGGCATAAAAATCACGGCCAGCAGTA